GAGTCTGTTCTCTGCACCTCCATCACTGTCTGGTTTGGTTCAGCAACCAAACAGGACAAGTACAGACTTCAGCAGACAGTCAGGACTTCAGAAAAGGTCACTGGTGTGAGCCTGCCCTCCATGGAGGACCTGTACACCTCATGGGTCAAAAGGAGGGCAGAGAGGATCACTGCAGACCCATCACACCCCGGACACAACCTGTTTGAACTCCTCCCCTCTGGATGGTGTTACAGGTCACTGTGCACCAAGGCAACCAGGCACAGGGACAGTTTCTTCCCCCAGGCTGTGGCTCTGATAAACACTAGACCAATGACAGTATGACTGGTCAATAACCCTCAGTGCAATACCTGTAAATATACCTTGTACAGATTATACAGACTCGTACAGGTCTCTAGTTTTAAGTACTCAATGAACATTGCTCGTCTGTCTGCATTGTTTACTGTCTGTTTATACTGCTTATTCTGCATTGTTTGCACTGTTTGTTGCTGTTTATACTGCTTATTTTGTTATATTACACAGTCTTATGCTGGTTTACTGTTTGCACATTGAGAGCCGATGTACCAGAGTCAGATTCCTCGTGTGTCCGACACACCTGGCCAATAAAGCTGATTCTGATTCTGAGTCTGATTTTGCCCTAAAAGCTTCAAATGACCATGTTTTTTTTACAGTGTCTGAAGCATCCATCTATGGTCTAAAACAAAGCAAGACTTAACTGTGCATGTGCAAGATGAACATGATCTCTGTGAAAGCGTGAGATTGTAAACAAGGAACATGTCACCCAGTACAGAAGTGTTCATATTTTGCAATAAGTGCTAAAAAACAGAATCGATAATTCCCTTCAGATGTTTTACAACTAAACGAGCCTGATTTGAAAATGTAAAGAGTAAAAGTAAAAAGCTGTCAGAAAGGTAAACAGAGTACAGATAATGGAAAATATCTGACCCCAGTTATGGATTACTTATTTCAAGCAAATGCCACGGCTTTTAATAAGTATTGAGACCCCTGCACATTTTGCACATTTTCTTGTGTTGTGGCTCTGTCTGTAGAGTCCACCAAAAATGTATGTATTGGAAGCGTAAGTAATCTGCATCTTTGTGTGTCATTCAGATTTCTGAGGATGGCCATAAGGGTGGGAAGGACGCCCAGACAGAGGCTGATAACCGGAACCAGTGTTACTACTGTAATCAGGTGTGCCAAAATGCCAACACACTGCGAAGGCACTGCAGGCAAGCTCATGGCAAGGACCGCTGTCATGTTTGCAGTCTGTGTAACAAGGCCTTCAAACGAGCTACACACCTGAAGGTAAGAACTTGTGTAAACACAGTAGACTCAGATGATAAATAGCTTTAAATCTAATCTTCTGACAGCCTAAATTTAACACTGATATCATCCCAGCTACTGCTCCTCTCTGTAAACAAAGTGGCCACTTATTAAATAAAGAATTTAGCACTGTATTGAAATGTATACAACAGATCACTAAAACTCTCCAGTAATAAAAGCAATAAATCGTGTCTCACAACACAAATTACATTTTTAATTATCACTGCCTCCACCGCAGACTAAAAAGTGATCACCAAAGACTCAGTGATGAATATGAAACCATTAACACAGTGCCTTCTCACTAAAGGCAGCAAAAATAATGGGAATTCATCAAATAGGATTTTAGATAGATTATCACTCTCAAGAACCGAGCAAAACACTTAAAGTGAGAAGCGTTTTAAGTCGAAGTAGGGAGAGGAGCGCACTCCAGCATGTAAATGCCAGTCAGATTGGTAGGAAAGAGGTGAATGAGGATATGGCTTTATATACACAAGCTCCTTCCCCCATCATATGTCACGTTTTAAAGCAAAGCCCAGTGTGCTGTAAGCTTTTACTTTTGTAAATGTGACTCAGCATGCTCAGTGGTAATTGTCTTACATAAGGGTAATGACACTGAGATTAGGTTGGTATCACAGCAAGAGTGACCAAGCTCTGTTTTGAGAAACCAAGTATTTAAAGTCAACGTGACATGACAGCCAGAGATTTTAAAGTAACCTGTGTGTATCAGCCAACTATGATCATCTCCAGCTTGGATTCGGTTTTTTGCAAATACCTGGTCATTTGAAATTGCAACTAGTTATTTGTCTGCAACATGTGCATATTCAGACATTCATATCTTAAACTTTTAATGTCTGATTTAAATTTAAAGGAATAGTATACTTATTTGCTCTGTTGCTGAGAGTTGAAAGAGAAGATTCATACCACGCTGTTAAATATAAAGCTACAGCCAGCAAATGTAGCAAAAATCCATCTACCTGTTTCTCTTAAGCTCACAAATAAATGTTGTCTGTGTAAGCCATACAAAGTGTAAAAACAAAGTTGTGGGTTTATACCAAGCCTAACCTTTTCAGATGTTGTAACCTTGCCATTTGTTAGCTATTATCCAGGCCTCATGTTCAGTTTGTGATAAATATATTCACATATTTTAATGTAATGACCCCAAACACCCTCCTGCCTGAATCTCCTTGTAAGCAGTTACAGCAGAGGGTATTTTAATCCTTTCCCTATTGCCAGTCTTATTATGCCATCATTTGTATTCACTTTACTGTCAACCCTGTGGCTTTCTGCTGCCCAGTATTTGACTTGAATCTGGCTCTGAGCTGCAGGTCAAATAGTATATACAATAAATAATATTTTTAGGTTTATGTAACATATGATTCAAAGAGATTAAAAACAAAATTATAGGATAAAGCCGGTCACACTATATTAATAGTATTTTCAACAATCGCCATACATAAAACCACTAATGAACTGGCTCGACTCACTCTTAATGTAAGTCAGTCTCCAACCTGAATAAGCGTATTTATCTGTTCCATAGACCTCCATTGTTCAAAAATGGTTAAAAACACACCACTAAAACATAACGCTGCACTGGGTGACATGTTTTTTTATTATGAAATACCAGAACTGCATATTTGTTAAAAATGTAGCCCTAAAAGCTTTAAACAGCCATAAGTTTTTACATCATCAGAAAAAAGCAAGAGTCAACTGCACATGTGTGAGATCGCTGCACAAGCTCTCTGCTTTATTTACAGTCTGCTAGCTCCACACAGAAAGCTAATCGAGGCTGGAGACTGACAGACATTAACAGTGAGTATAGGCAATTCACTGTTGGTTTTAGTCTCTGTATGAGGAGTGTTGAAAATACTACTAATAGAGATAATGACTGATATTATTCTTTAGGTACATGAACAAGCATTTTCTCAAACATTTTTTTATTTCCAAGTTATTTTTGTCATTTTCCAACAGATTATATTAGCAACAGAGCATATAATTAACAGCCTTAGTTGAAATCGAATTCGAAAGCAATACACCAAAAGAAGGAAAGACATCCCTTAGTATCGCAAGCAATGATTTATAGGGTGTCCAAACCCTCCAGATTGGTCTGTTGTGTTATTTTCTCCAAGGGAAACTCGTCAGACATCTCGGTCCTGTCCACATTCTGTTAGAGGGACTTTGTGTGCTTGACTGTAATGGTGAAATTTATCTTTTGGATTTGTCTACAGGAACATGAGCGCGTGCACCAGCCAGGCCCGTCACCCAGCTCCCAGAAACCCAGAGTCTTCAGCTGCTCCTCCTGTGTGAAGGCCTTTGCCAAGCGCAGCCAACTGGAGAGACACAACCGAACACACACAGGTAAAGAGGACTTAGGAATGCGTACAGTGGATGTCATATTAAAAATCACAAACCTCCCATTCATTATCATGAAATATTACTTCATCTTTGTTATATCCAGTAATCTACTTTATTTTATAAAGCTTTATCTGAATATGACAATTTTCTCCTTAATTTTCTTTTTACTTAATAATGGCACTTTTTATACAGATTGATTTTTTTTTTTTTACCTGATTGTTAGCTAGCTTAATATTATATTACATTAGCTTAAAATAATTAAGGACTAATAAACTTAAGGACTAATAAATTTACCACCACAAAATCTGGCCGGAATGGCAATATCATGGCAGGTGAGACACACATTTCAGAAGTCCCAATGTGGCTTCCAGTGTGTGCATATATATTATATGGTGTTGATTTGCAACAAATTACAGATGGACTTCCGTTTTCATTGAACAAAAATGCAGCTGTTTTTTGTTTTTGCCTTGTTGCATTTTTATTGTTTAAATCATGCTCCTAGAAGGAAATCAAGTCTTTTCATTTTTGACTACAGAATTTAATAAAAAGGTTTTTTTTTTTGCTTTTTAGATCTTTGGATTTAAAAATCAAAATCAAATGCTTTCACTTTTCGTTTCTGGTTTTAAAAGGACACTTGAATTACCAAAAAGTACACGGACCATGTAGGTTACTTTAATTCTCGATTTCCATTTATAAACATCACAAACAAAAATCAGATAACAGCTTTTTTGACTTGTTGCTGTTTGTTTTGTTTGTTTTCTGTGGTTTATTATCAAAACAAAAACAAAAAATGACCTGTTTTTCATTTTTTGTTTCCATATTTCTAAATGGCAATTGGGAGAAATTATGTTTTCTCATTTTGATTTTTTATTTCAAAATGAAAATTCACGGACCGCATATGTCATCGATAAATCGCTGATTAATCATTGATTAAATGAGAAAAGAATCAGCATATAATGACATACTGGTTCCAGGCCTGGTTTGAAGGGAAGCTGCTATCACTGATACTATGTGTGTGTAAACATAGATATGAAAATAGAAATCACATAGAAAAATATGTAAATACCAACTGCAGTACCTAAAATTTAGGCATTTACTGTACATGCAAACTGTGAACATGGGGAAATACCTGTTTGTGGTTAATGGACTAAATAGGGGCAGAATATTGTACATGACCCTTGTACAACAGCATAGTTGTTTTTCATGCTGGTTTGCTTTCATGTTTATCTTCAGTCATATTGTCAGAGTCCAATAATTTCAGCCATCATGGCATTTATTTACACAAATTATACCAAAGGACAGTGCTGTTTATCACAATTACTGCAAGACAACTAACTGTGAGTCTGTGTTTTTGTACAGGTGAGCGTCCCTTCAAGTGCAGCCAGTGTGAAAAGGCCTTTAACCAGAAGAGTGCTCTGCAGGTCCACATGGTCAAACACACTGGGAAGAAGCCCTTCAAGTGTGAGGTGTGCAGCATCAGGTTCACCCAGAAGAGCAACATGAAGCACCACATGAAGAGATCCCACGGCTATGGTGAGTAGCTGACTGGTGTCACACCAGCACGCACACAAACACTTGGACACACAGCCAGCTGCTTGTGCAGCTGGGAAACAAAGGCTGTAACTAGTCTCTCAGCCATGTCTCTTTTTCACTTTGACTCAGGAATAGTATTTCCAAGAGGATCAGGCCAGATGCAGTGGGGCAAATAAGTATTTGATACACTGCCGATTTTTCAAGTTTTCCCACTTACAGAGAACGGACAGTT